CCCCTGTAGACGCGCGACCTCCTTACCCCCCTATCTACGCCCGAGGAACCGACATTTTTGCAGGGTGGTACCCGAACCCCCCTCAACATGCGGTACCCTGCAAAGTACGCGTCCTACCCCACAAGTCTTCCTCCCCACCCGTCGCTTCTTCTTTGGCGGCGCACGTTTTGGCATTTGGACGTTAAAAGGGTGGGCACGAGCAGGAAAACCGTGATGGCACATGCTTACCCCAGGGTGATCCCGATTGTATCCTCCGGGAGGACAAATGTGAAGGGGCATTCACGAGGCCCGGAATTAAAATTTCAGTAAAGGTGCATCTCGTTGATAAACGCTCGTCTGATTTTTTCGTATCCCCCAAGAAATATGTCACGGTGAACGCAACGATGCCTTTTTACCAAATATTCAGCAGCATTTTTCGGACGTATAACGATACGTGACGTAACAGCGTCAGCGTGATAATACGTTTAATCGTGCGCGCGGAAACCGGGAACGAACGTTATATTTCTTGAAATCTCGCATCCTGGAATCTCGGTTTCCTCCGAATCCGCTTTCCCGTCTCCCCCTCCTCCCTCCCTCTCGCAGTCTCTCTCTTTCTCTTCCCCCCCCCTCTCTCTCTCTCTACCCTTTCCTTTCACCACCCCTTCGTCGCTTCTCGCGGACTGCTCTTTTTCCTCCTTCGCCGACATCGCTACGATTCTTTTTGCCACCCCCTCATCGCCAGACCGCCGCCAACCCTCGTACACCCTCCCGCCCTCTCGTATTTTTGCCCCTTTCCCTTCCTCTCTCTCTCTCTCTCTCTCTCTCTCTCTCTCTCTCTCTCTCTCTCTCTCTCTCGTCCCCCCACTCCCGCAGCCTTTCTCCGGACCGGTAGGAAAAGCGCGAGAGACTTTTATTTTCGCATGTAGAAAAAGCAAGGCGGAAAGGGAGGTTTTGCCGGCAGACCGTTACTGCGAGGCGGACGTTTTTTGCGACAGCTCCGTAATCCGTGAAAGGGTGAGAGAGCGCCGGGAGAAGCCAAAGGCGCCGCGATGCTCGGCTCGCTCGCTTGTTCGTTCGTTCGTTCGCTCGCTCGCTCGCTCATTCGCGATTTGCATAGAGCGATCCGGAGAGACCGACTCGTAGAGACCGACGATCGCTTTACGTTGCGCGATTGCATGAACGTTACAAGGTAGATGCGCTGGTTAATTGTTAGATAATTCGATTTCTTTGCTATGCGGAGTATCGTCCATTATTGGTACTGGAAGAGGGATGGTTTTACGTAAAATCGTTAATCCCATTATGATTTCGCGTAAAGAAAGAATACGTCGAGGGTATCGAATTATATTTCCTCTTTAATTAAAAAAAAAAAAAAAATGTACATTTTTTTTCAAATTAAATCTTCGCCATTCTGTTGCGTCTACATCTACGTAAAAAATTGAATGTATAGATCTAATTTTTATTCTTATTCTTCTTATTTTAAAATTAGATTGTTTCTTATACTCACTTTTTCTCGAATCTTTATTGCATTCTCTTTCGTAAATATGTGTACGATGTATGTGTGTGTTCGTAATGTTGAACTCGATTTCGTGGGTTTGTCAAACCCAAATAATTGCATGGATCAATTATTTTCACGAAATGTCGAATGTAATGGTAAACGAATGGATTAAAATATATTGAAATTTTAATCTATTGATTAATGCAGCCGAATGTGTACTTTAATAGCATTCATGATCCATTTTTACTTTTTTTATATTCAATTGGATTGAAAAACCGCATTTTCTATTCAGAATTTTGAATTGAGCAGTATATTCACGATGCATTTAAAGAACTGAAATTTTTTTAGATTGAAAGGCATGAAAATGTGCTTCATGCCATTCCTATAAATGAATAAAATGCATTGGGGTTGAAAAGAATTCATTCTAACGTTCGCGAATGCGTACTTCTGAAAATCTAGATTTATTTCACCCCATTCTGGTTTATTGAGAACTTCGTGTTTTCGTACTCGAGGTTACCGTGGATATGTAGTGCAATATTTTAGAATCAGATTCTGAATTCATGAATTAACTTCTATGCTTAATTATTTGTTACAAACATCGAAAGACGTTTCGCTTATTTCGAAAAAATAAGGAATGAAAACGATTTTACGACGCTTATCTGATCGTAATATGTGAAATAAAACTCGAGATAATATTTTTTAAAAATATTATGATAATATGAAAATTATAAATCTAATATGATGACATCTCACTGCCTTCGATTTTTATTATTTCTTTTTAAAAAATGTCAATCGTCTCGAGTCCATTTGAGAAGCCATTTTCGTGATTCTCGCATTTCATTCAGAAAAAGAATGATAATATCTTTAGCATTA